ACCCATTGCTTGGAATTCGCAAAAACAGCCAACAGTAGCCTTATCATCTTGTGAAGCAGAATTTATGGCTGCCACTTCAGCAGCCTGTCAAGCAATATGGTTAAGGGGATTGTTAGCTGAAATAACTGGAAGAAAAGAAGAACAAGTGGTGATCAAAGTAGATAACAAATCAACAATATCCTTGATGAAAAATCCAGTATTTCATGGAAGAAGCAAACATATCAACACGCGGTATCATTACATACGAGAGTGTGTTGAAAAGGAGCAGATTAAAGTTGAGCACATCAGCGGAGATCAACAACGGGCTGATATTCTTACAAAAGCATTGCCAAAGCTGAAGTTTGCTGAAATGAGAAAGATTCTTGGGGTAGAAAAGATTGAAGACTCGAAGGACTCAAAGAAGTAAAAGAAGACTCAAGGTCAAGATTGGGAGGGTGATTGTTGGACCAATCTTGACATTCAGTAATAGTTAGGGGGTTTATTTTGTAATTATGTTGAAGTCTTTATTTGTTAATAATTAGGGTAGAGTCAGTCATAATTTTAGGAGATATATCTCAGATGGATTTGAGATTATCATAGCTTGTAGGAGTAGGAGATGTTATGCTTGGAGAGCAAGGCTGATGATTTAACTTGGTGGACAAGGTTAACTCATCTATAAATAGGGATAGTTTCTCTGTATTTTATGCATTCAAAGTTTTTCAATTAATTGGAGAAGGATTTCCAATAAGTTCTTGTTCTAGATTTCTGTTTTCTGTTTATCGAGATCTGGTACCAATAACTTCAGGGACATCCTTGGAAAGTGAATACTTTTTACAACACTCCTAAATAAGTGTGCCAAGTCAACACGGGAAGAGCATTCCCTGACAGAGGCAGTAGCTTTTTGTCTCATTTAGCTGGCTTAAATAGATGTTTCTGAACACTTTTCAGATTCAGGCTTAGTTCGGCCAAACAACCCTTACCAAATGGGCCCTTAGACTGTATTGAGGGCATTTTCTCTCTGGATTTAAAAAATATTAAATTCTCTCTCTCTCTCTCATTATACAGGCGTTTGCTGATGAAATTGGTATTCCATTTCTGGAAACTAGTGCAAAAGATGCTACTAATGTAGAGCAAGCTTTCATGGCTATGTCTGCTGCAATAAAGGACAGGTAAGATTCTTTTAGTAGCACCAAAAACCCTTGCACTTTCATTTAGTTTTTGAAATTCATTTCAATCACATCTATGAGTTGAATGCATTAAATCATCTATTGTAATCAATTAAGCATCTCATTTCATATTGTATATAGAATGGTAAATGTCCTATATCTCAAAACTGTCATCATATATAGTCCAATGCAGTCAGTTTCTTGTATGTGATGCTATATGTATATAAGAGCAATGATTTAAAAGCTCTGAGCTCTCTTCTTTGTCAATGATAAAAAAATCAATAAATTTTTTACTTGTCAGCTTGATGAATTATGGTCATGTGTTTTACTATAAAACAACAACAACCCCACAAAAGTTAGGGTCTGGGAGGGTGTGTACGCAAACCTCTTACCCTTATCAGGAAGTAGGAAGATTGTTTCAAGAGAACCCCGAAGCACATACATCCAAAGTAAACATAGTAGCACGAACAAAAGAAGATCACATATACATGAAGCACCCATACCGACACTAACAACTAGATCCAAAGCACAGAAAGCACAACTGCACCACCATAAACTACAATCTATGGCCCAAAGATCTTCCCACCTACTCTAATCTTAAATCTTTAGACGTTTCTTTCTAAGGCCATGTCCTCAGAAAGATTCTGAAGTCATAAATCTTGTCTAATTACCTCACCTCCCATAATGGTCATGTGTTTTTCTATGATGGTGAGAATATAGCCATGCATAAAATATGCCCCAAATTGTTGGATTTGCCAAGAATGTGGTTGAATGTGCCAAATATTGTAGCTGGAATATCTAAAGAAGAATTCTGACATTCTGTATCTAAAACAGGTGTATTTGCCTACGTGCTTTGATATTACTTGTTATGGATAGTAGAGTAGGATAATTAGTATTATTATTATTATCATTATTATTGTAATGTAGATTTTATTAGGTGAGCGAAATTATAAGTTCCTTCGAGGTTTCTTTATGGTTCTTTCCCTCGTCGCTTTTTTCCATCATCTCCGATGGAGCCAAAATTTCACCATTTTTTGGCTTTGGGGTGTGATGGAATAAATCAAAATGGATCTCTAAACTGTTTGCGCTTCTTTAATTAATGAAGTAGCAGTTAGTCAAGCAATGCAACTTTCGACGTTGAGCCGGGGGTCTCTTTGGAAACAGCCTCTCTACATTCAAGTAGGGGCAAGGTCTGCGTACACACACCCTCCCCATACCCTACTCTTGTGGGATTTAACTGGGTTGTTGTTGTTGTCCCTCGTCGCTTTTATTGAACCGTCAGGTTAGCATTAGGGTTTCCTTCTTCCCTATATAAGGAGATGTAACCCCCTTTAGAGTTAATCAATCAATAATACTAATTATCCTACTCTACTATCCATAACATTACTTTAGAGTTACTCAACCGGAACCTAACTCGTGTATCTTTTGATATTTCTCTTTGTGATCGGTCTTTTAAATGCAGGATGGCGAGTCAACCAGCGAACACGGCGAAGCCTCCCACTGTTAATATGAAAGGGCTGCCAGTTCAACAGAGCAGTGGCTGCTGCTCTTCCTGAGCAGTTGTGTTGTTATTATCACAAGTCTCAATTTCTTCAAGGCTTTATTATTGTTATTATTTCTTCAATATATGCTCCCTATTTGTTACTTCAAGATTCTGTCCATTGCAACTGACTACTGAAAGATTGCAAAATATTAAATGGGATTTGTTACTTCTATGTTCAATTATATCTTTAGCATACAAACTATTGAAGTGTTTCAAAGGGCAAACTAGTTTCAATGATCCTTTTGTAAGAGTTTTTTTTTGCATCATTTATTCCTGAATTCTTCATAAAATGTTTGTTTCCCTTCCAAACTTTCAAAAAATGTACCCGCATTCCACTAGTCCCTATACTTTTTTATAAAAAAAACATGCTTTTCTATCTTCACGCCTTATACTTTTTATTTTGGAACACCCACCGTACTTCGTTGGTAAAATTGATGATTCTTACTCGTCATTTGCATAACTGATATATTTACCCTTTCTCTTATCAAAAATATCTTCCTTTCCCTTCATGTTAAAAATCAAGCACAAGCTTCTAGAGATGAAGCAACGTCTAACCCACGCATCTATGGGTGCTTAGAAGATAAGACCAAGATACCTTCTACCATCTTTATATGCCTATCTATTTTCAACCTCATTCATTACTGTAAATCTTTACTTATTTTCTTTCTATTTTCAAAAAAAAATTATTTGTAAAATTACTATTGTTTTTAAATTATGCACACACCGGCCTACTCCCTAGCGTATTTTCAGATTTATAAGAACAGCTCCATAGTCTATATAAATCTCACACCAATCCCTCATTTGATTGGTATGAGATCGGTATTTAGCGAGGATGGCAGGTTGGAGGTGGGGTCGAGTGCTGTTGGCCGTTGGGGATAAAGAAGATAACACGGATAAATTGAGAGTCGTGTATAACACTTTCAGATTGAATATTTTGGGAGTCATTTAATTTAAAATTCAATCGGAAAAAACTCAAAGTTATCAAGAACAAGTATGAATGTGTTGTGAATTTCTAAATTGTGTTGTTAGCGACCAAGGATCAACGGATTTTATAAAGCCGTCGAAAGGATGAAGCCTGCATGCGGTCGTGTCTCTCGTCCAAAACCCGCAGCCTTTCGTGCGATTTGAGAAAAAACGGCGCTTATTTTTTTCCGAAAAAATTTCTTTAAGGAAATTAAAAAATTAAAAATTCAAATGAAGTTTTAACATATGTAGTTTAAGAATTAATATGAGTAAAAAAGATTTAATTTTCAATAGAAAAGAGAATTCTTTTTAAGACGGATGAAAAAAAAGAGAAAGATTTTAAGAGGCGAAATTATGCATGACTAGATCGATTGTGGCATTTCGTTAGGGTTCTTTCTAGCTTGCATGTGTGTTCGTGACCTATTAGATGGAGTACCCTTCATTTCCTGTCATAAATTAATCGTCTTGGTTTTATTTTTAATCTATTTTAAAATTATTGTTTTTATCCACTCCGTTTCTTAAAACAGTTCCTCTTTTATTTTTTTTCGTTTACTTCCATTTCTGTAAAAAAATGACTAATATATCTAAATTAAGTTTTTACATTATACTCCATTCAATTTGCATTGATATAATAAGTCATTTAAATGATTTGTCTCTCTTTTTTTCTTCGATAATAAGAGTATAATTAGAAGGTCAAATTGTGAAATTAAATCTCTACCAAGTCAAAACAGGAACTATTTTAAGGAACGGAGGGAGTATATATATATAGTCCATAATCTTTCTTTTTATTATAAACTAAACAATTTCAACGATTCATTATTTATTTCTCAACATTTTCTTATTAAACCTATCCATACAATCATGAGCTTCACTTGACACCATATTGTAAATGTAAATACTCCATAATTTTGTACTTCCTCTATTCCAAAAAGAATTACGAGTATGTTCTTCAATATTCAAAAGTCACACAGACTTTTGCTTAAGTGTGTTTTTTGAATAGAGGAATTGATGTAAATAGCACTAAAACATAAGGACTTTCCCTAAATAGCACTACATATGTTTTTTTCCAATGTAGCACTTTTAGTCATTAACCATTAGTCATTATTCAAGTAAATGTTTGGCATCACTGGTCATTATGGACATTATTATTAAGTGCTATTTAGGGAAGAAAACAATCTAAGTGCTATTTAGAGAAATGACTTAAGTTTTAGTGCTATTTAGTGCAAATATTTCTTTTTTCTTTTGAATAACTATTTGATAAAATATACTCCGTACTACGTAATATTCTTGCTGTTACCTCTTGTTTTGTAAAACATTTGACGTAGTTTTCAAATGTTTAAATTTTGTTTTTAATTTCAACATCAATCTTGAAATAAAATGAACTCCAAAAACTTAAACTTTCATTTTACGTAATATTTTGAGATAAACGAAGCTTAAAAAAGGATGAACTCTATCCCCGAGAGTCCATCAGAACAAGCCGGACGATCACGTGATCAATGTGAGGAAGTGTTATACGGAGTACAATTTTGCGGAAAAATTAAATTGTGATGTTCTTTTCACGAAGGAGCATCTAAAAATGGATATAGAGTACCGTCCCTTTTTTGACCACATCAATCATGTACGTTTCGCACACCTAATGAGTACTAGGTGTAACTGTGTGCAAATGTAATTGTTTTTACCACAATGCTCTTAGCTTGCCCAATCAACATGCAGAAAGCATTAGTAAACAAACTTGCATTAGGAAACAAACGACTTAATATATATGCATACACTAGACTATGCTAGACATGGAACATGCCCTTTGTTTGCTTAATAATTTTCATGAAAACCCACCAAAACTAACACATGTTTAAATGGAATGTTTGGCCCCATGTCTTAGAGGAAAATGAACAAGTATTTCGTGTTAGAAAACGATGCATGTCTTCCAATGCCCTCTTATCATTACACACACACACACATATATATACTCCCTCCGTTTGCAAAAAAAGGTTCCTACTTTGACTTGGAGCCAAAATAAGGAAGTGTAAAATTAAAGTTGACTTCCAATTTTGCCCCTGATGTGATGGATTGGTTATTAGAGAAAAAGTATGATGTGATAGGTAGAGTATGAAAAAGTAAGGGTAAAAGTGGTTTTTTAATAGAAAGTGGAAGTGTTTTGTTGGAAGTGAAAAAAAAATGAAAGAGGAAATGTTTTTGAGAACGGAGCGAGTGTGTGTGTGTGTACACACACACAGATATATATATATATATATATATATATATATTTATATATATATATATATATATANTTTCCATGCATTGCATGCCCTTTACTTATGTGTACATATATAGGTAGTAATAACCATATTGCTTGCATAAATGGATGCATGGCTTTCCCTATATATATATATATATATATATATATATATATATATATATATATATAGGGAAAGCCATGCATCCATTTATGCAAGCAATATGGTTATTACTACCTATATATGTACACATAAGTAAAGGGCATGCAATGCATGGAAAAATTCAAATCATGCATGAGCAACATATATAATCGCTGGCGTGCACATGCGACTATATATAGCTATACAAATACTCTTCGTGTTCAACGCTTACTATATTATTGAACTTCTCCCCTAACTTGAGTATTAGAGACTGAAACCCACTCCTCATGATTAATGAGAAAATTCATCTAGATTCAAGCCCTAGTTTATTGAGGCGGAGATGTTAACTCTTCATGTGTGATTAGCTTGAGAAATGTATGAAGACATAATATATTCAATAGCATTAAAAAATGTTTATTACTCTCTCCGTCTCATGAAACTTTTCTCCTTTCTTTTTTTATCCGTCCCACAAAACATTTCTCATTTCTATTAAAAAGTCACTTTTACCCCTTACTTTTTCATACCCTAACTATCACATCATACCTTTTTACTAATAATCTATCCATAAAATCATACTTTTACCCATCACATCAAAGGATATTTTTGGAAATTCAATACCAAAATACACTCCCCTTAAATTCCTCCTAAAAAGCAAAAGTCTCATGTTTCATGGGACGGAGGGAGTATATTATTAATCAACTCTCTCCTTTAATTTATATATTTGTATTTGTATGGATTTATATGTGATTCCATGGCAATTTGGTCTATTATGTTTGGGCCATAACGTTATGGCTAGGACAAGACGCGCAGACAAATATATAATGCATGCATGCATGCTTTTTATTTTGTGGCTATCTATACACTTGGTAGTATAGTTGTTTTCAAGAATTCTTTCATTTAACATGCAATGCATGCATGAGCTAAGGAAATCCCTCGTGCTTCAAACATCAAACAAGACACCTATGGGTTAAATATTAGTCCCTTTAATTTTGACTATTCAATCACGAGAAATTTACCTAAATAGCACTAAAACATAACGACTTTTCCTAAATAGCATCATAAATGTTTTTTCCCAATGTAGCACTTTTAGTCATTATCCATTAGTCATTATTGAAGTAAATGTTTGACACCACTGGCCATTATTTATCCTTCTAGACATTATTAAGTGCTATTGTTAATAGTATCTCACATCGGAAAACTGTGAGGAAAATAATCGGTATATAAGCTCTTAAGTTGAACTAATTAATCGATTGGATTCAATCTTTTAATGTGATTCAGCCCAAGTGTCTTATTACCCAATCTAGTTGTCCACACTCAATCTTAAATTTATCATGGTATCAGAGTCAGTTTTAGCTCACCTCGTTTGTCAAGGTGTCCGTCTAGACGTTCATTCCTAGCGGCCCGTTAGTCTTTAGCCCAGTTGTCCGTATGGAGTATGTACTCAACGGCCTGTGGCCCGTTTAACACGATTGCTCGTCTGGAAGTCCATAACCACGGCTCGTGGTTCTTTAGGTGTTGGCACTCAAAAAAAGTCAAGGGAATGAGAGTTCATTTGCAAGTGGTCAGCCGGTTAGATTCAAAATGGCCCGGTTGTCCACTTGAGGGGGAGTGTTAAGACCACACCGGAAAAGTGTGAGGAAAATAATCGATATATAAGCCCTTGAGGTGAACTAACTAATCGATTGGATTCAATCTTTTAATGTGGTTCAGCCCAAGTGTCTTATTACCCAATCCAATTGTCCACAGTCAATCTTAAATTTATCAGCTATTTAGGAAATAAAACAATTTAAGTGTTATTTAGGGAAATGACTTAAGTTTTAGTGTTATTTAGTGCAAATATTTCTTCAATAAAATCATCCTCTTTGTTTTTTAGACGAAGTTTAAAATTGAAGTTGTGAACTTGAAATTTTCAAAAGAAATCATTCAAAATAAGAGTAAAACATACTACCTCCGTTCCACAAAACT